TCTAAACCCTAAACCCCTAAACTGTCCCACATGTGTGCCGATGTACACGTAGAAGCCGAACCCTGGGAAGCTCAGGCGATGGCGATTCCGACAGTGGCACTTCCCAGCACTAGTTGCCCTTAAACCTAAACCCTAAACCCAGTAAGTGTTGGGGTGCCATGGCGCAGCTTCAGCAAGCTTCCGTGATCGAGGCAGGTTCCTAAGGTCGGGTCTTACCTATCGTCTCCATTGTAGTTCCTTTTCTTGGTCTAACCATTTTTTATTGAGGATCCTAAAAGGTAACCCCAAACAGGAACTACAATGGAGACTATAGGTAATCTGGATTTTTGGAGTTTGAGGGTTCAGGTTATAGGGGTTTAGGGTTTAGGGTTTCTTGATCTGGCTTTTTGGAGTTTGAGGGTTCAGGGTTCAGGGTTTAGGGTTTAGGGTTTAGGGTTTTGGGTTGAGGGTTTAGGGTTTAGGGTTAGGAGTTTGAGGGTTCAGGGTTTAGGGTTGAAGGTTTTGAGTTTGAGGGTTCAGGGTTTAGGGTTGAGGGTTTTGAGTTTGAGGGTTCAGGGTTTAGGGTTGAGGGTTTAGGGTTTAGGGCTTGGAGTTTGAGGGTTTAGGGTTGAGGGTTTAGGGTTTGGAGCTTGGAGTTTGAGGGTTCAGGGTTTAGGGTTGAGAGTTTAGGGTTTAGGGTTTGGAGTTTGAGGGTTCAGCTAAACCTTTAAACCCTAAACCCTAAACCCTAAACCCTAAACCCGAATGTAAAGGAGCCCTTAGTGGAATCTTTAAAGGAGCCCCTGAAGGAGACCTTAACGCGCCCTGAATCACCCCTAAAGTGTCGGCGGTGCTGTTACGGTTTAGGGTTTAGGGTTTAGGGGTTTAGGGTTTAGGGTTTAGGGTGGGTTTAGTGTTTAGGGTATAGGGTTTAGGGTTTAGTGTTGAGGGTTTCGGGTTGTACAAGGGTTTAGGGTTCCAGGGCTTGGAAGCTTGGGGGTTTAGAGCTTCGGATTGGGTCCAGAGTCTTCAAGGAGAGCCAGGAATTACACGGTTAGGGTCTGGGGTTGAGAGTGGTCTCGGGTTCGGGGTTATAGTAGTGTGTGACTCAGTGTGTGCCTAAACCCTGGGGGTTCTGGCTTGCAGAGTTTCGGATAGCAAAGTGTGATGTGTTTGTTTTGATGAATGTAGGGGCCTCAATGATTGCCTATATTAATTTTGGGGCGTCCTTTTTATATTTTTAGTTTACGATACACCAAAGCCCTATTGAAAATGATCAAGGCTCCTACATCATGGGTTTTCGAGTAGGGCAGGGTGTGGAACGGCTATCATGCTTTGTGTGACGGTTGAACCGCTCTGGCAGATTTGGCGCCGATTGCATTCACAACTGGTTGGTTTAACCCTAAACCCGAAACCCCTAAACCCTAACCCTAACCCTAAACCCTAAACCCCTAAACCCCTAAACCCTAAACCCTAAACCCTAAACCTCTTAACCCTAAACCTCTTGACCCTAAATGGCAGGCTCAAAGTGCAAAGCCTTTGTCTTATAGCCGGCTCACCAGTCTGCCTAAAATGGCACTGGCGGTCCTGTTGGCGACATTTGCTCCACTTGCGAATGCTGTCCCAGGTAGTGCATGGAGGAATGATTTTTGTCCCGACTTCCAAAGAGTCCAAGCAGGAACATTGCAATTTGAGAAAGCTCTCGTCGGAAAGCATCTTACGTTCGTTGTCCCCCTCTGGGACATGACTGACCCGACTTCAAGCCACTGGAACGACGGAGAGCCGGTTGGAACTCCAGAAAATGGGATGGTCATTACTGACAAGGTACACGGCTTCCACGCATCGGTATTGAAAGCAGCGTCGGCCATCGCTAACTTCACGTACACCATTCGCCTTAACACGGTAAAGGCTGCTTCAACCACCGAGTGGCTGTTGCAAGAGTCTCCGAACTATGATGCCGTCCTCGGTTCGTGGACGGACAGCCTTGTACGCCGTGAAGCTGGTTTCCTGCAGCCGTACCCCCTCGTCGAAAAGGATTTGAACATGATTGTGCGAAGGAAGATTGACAACCCATCGGTGTGGAAAGTCATGTTCACCTTCATGAAGCCCTTCTCAGCAAGCTTATGGATAATGCTGTTCCTGTGCTCCCTAGTGACAGCTGTGTTTTCTGGCGGCAAGCGGCAAACTTTATTACATTTTGTTTTCCTCAAGGTAAGCGCTGCGGCTTCATCAACTATAAATCCAAAGCCAGTTTCATAAACCCCTGTAAACCCTAAAGAATGTCAGACCCAAGCCGAGTCAGTTAAGCCAGGCAGAAAGCCCAGCCCACAAATCCTGGACCGTGAAACTCCGAAGAGGCCAATGCTTACATACTAAAACCCTACACCCTAAACCCTAAACCCTACACCCATAACCTGAAACCCCACATGCTAGGACCTTAAAGGACCCGTTTAGAGGATCCTCGCAACCCCTCTTCACAGCTCCTTCAAGGTTTATGTGGTTTTTTGAGACGTCCCGGGTCTCCATTGAGGAGGGGGCGGAAGTTGAAGTCTCGACTGCCCCTGAAGGCGCACTGAAGTCGGTGTGGCTCCTAGGCTCCGATTTAGGGTTTAGGGTTTAGGGTTTTAGGGTTTTAGGGGTACATGGTTTTAGGGTTTAGGGTGTAGGATTAAGGGTTTTAGGGTTTTAGGGTGTAGGGTTTAGGGTTTAGGGTGTAGGGTGTAGGGTTTAGGGTTTTAGGGTTTTAGGGTGTAGGGTTTTAGGGTTTAGGGTTTAGGGTTTCCTACC